GAAGCTCCTCTCGGACCATTACAATCACGCAAGTTCCGATCAAATATTCCGGCTCAGGGACCTCGTGAGTTATTGCTTCGTGTTCTTGCCAAACAAAAATTCATCTTATGGAATTGCTGCTACTTTCGGGTTCACTCCTCAAAACGCGCCAATGACAGTTTACCATCGAAACAGATGAACGGATCTTAAAAGGACTGATTATCTCACGCTAACTTTCGCGCTCTTAAAAATTTATTTTTCCCACATTTTCAGGATGTTTTCTCAATCTTTCGGAGGATGTTGAGAGAAACGCACACTACCTAATCTTTTTCTTTTTATCTCTGCTCCCTCCCCCATCCTGTATTGAGAGTTCTCGATGCCCAGTCGGTCGAACTGTTCCAGCGAGCGCTAGTTGCGATTTTCTGTGACATTTTAGTGATTTACTTACAGTCAAAAAAATCAGAATTCGGCCGCGGTTTACTCTTTTCGAGAGGCGCAAGCACCCGAAAGTAGCAAGTGCCAATTCCCAGGGATAACATATGAATGCAGTCTTGCGGGATTTCAGTGAATTTCAAATGTCAAGGATAACTAAAATACAGTTCTATGTTTCAGAACACTGGCTCGTCCGACGGGCTCCTCATCGTACCGACGATCGACGTCGCCCGCAGTTACATCACCATCACTTTTCCCGCTCACATCGCGGCATTCACCACCTTCCTTGTTAGCATCAACATTATCTCGGCGACGTTCTAGCGATTTATTTGACCTTTACAATCACAGCTTCTCCACGTTCTAACTCCGTTTTTTGAAATTACTACTGCTGTGTTCCATGTAAGGTAATAAATCGTAAGTTACAAGTGTCCCGCTGCCGCATTGGTCAGTTTTTCTTTGCGCCACAGCCCACTACTCGACTGACCGCCAAATTCCTTCTAATAAACACTGCTAGAAAACAATCTTCTCCACGACTAACCCACCTGGTCAACAAACTGATGCCCACTTGCTTAGCATACATCAAGTAGTGCCCCTAGCTTAAACGTTCAGCTTGCTTTTTGTGCAGCTTTCTGGAGAGAGTACGTGCGTGGTCTTATTAGCATTTGTCTGTTTCAAGCAAAACCTCTTACGTCTTACGTCCTGTTGCAAGTTCTACTTTTTTACAGGTGAGTTACTGCTGAAGAGACGCGAGGGAGAAGAAAAGTTGTGGGGGGCTGGAGCAAGGAAGGGAGGGGTGTGAAAGGAGGACTTGGGATCTGAGGATTAAACTTCTGGATTTTTCAGATAGTTGTCGACAAGTTGCACTCACTGGCATCCATATATCCCCTTTTCCTGAAAATTTCTTCAAAAAAATCCATTTTCTGTTCCTATCCGTGTGCTTGTCAAATTTGTTTTTTTTTTTTGCTAAATAACTGGCGCGTTGTATCATTCCTCCGGATTTATTGAGACTTTTGGATGAGGTGTTTACTCGTAGCCAGTGTGCACTCGGCATTATTTGTATCACTTCATCATGCCGTATTTACTACTCCTTTCTGTTATGAGCCAAATGAATTGTATTGCTTCTCATCCATGCTCATTACTTCCTGTTGATGATGTACTACTAGCAAAAGAACATTTTATTGCAGGGAATTTCTGACAGGGATATACCTAATTTGTTTCTTTCATTAGCCGTAATTCATTACCTGATTCTCCAACTAATGCAGCTGGCAGCTTTTCCACTTGCTTTGACCGGTGCTGCAGTGCGTGAAGGCTAGCATGCCGGCGATCTTGTCGTTCGTTTCGTCTCGTGAAGAAATTAACACCTCAGCGGTTTTCTCGATAATAAATCTGGAAAAGGTTTCGCGATGTTCTTTTTGCGTATTTAGTATCACCATTTCGTTTCGAATGCTGCCACTTCTAGACCACGTTAAAGCAATTTTCAGAATAGAAGAGTGGAAAATATTAATTGAAACTTAGATTAGGTTAACTGCTTTAAATGAAAAATAGTAAAAGTTATGGATGACTTGCAGTGAATATGTGATTTTATGTGACCTTATTGCCTACCTTTTTGTTGTATGTGTAAATAAAAAATACTTTTGTTCCTTCATGAATTTGTCGACAAAAAGAAACAAACAGTACTAGGAATGTTAAGATCGCCTGTACAGTCGTAGGCGCGGCTCTTTGATTCTGTGGTGCATACTCGGGATTAGTATTTACCGCGTATAAGTGCGTGTCTTTTCGGCGGTCGATCGAGTGGTCGGTCGCATTGTCGGAAGTACCACTTACTAATTCGCAAGATCCGTTTGTTGGCAGGACGGGCGACATGTCCTACCCATCGGATTTCACTTTGTTAAAAGCTTAAAGTGACATAGGTCGACTATTCAAGCTGAAGAACACAAAGTTTGGTAATTGACAAATCGAGATACGCTTTTATTGTCTTACAGCCAGAATTGAAGACCTCCTGCGGGCACTGAAATTGAC